AAAAAAAAAAAAACAAAACAAAAAAAAAAAAAACCAAGCAGGCTAACAAATGTTCAACACGTGAACCAACCTGGATCTGCTGAAATGCTTTCAATCTTTTCTTAAATCTTGAAGGCAAAACAAAATCACATCCACGAGCCAGCAGTGCCAATTCCTTCCTAAGATCAGGATCTTGCCGCAACGAAATTTCTTTCATTCTCATATTTCCAGATTTCATATAAATCCTTCGATGCCACTAGGAAATCCACCCAAAATATGTATAAACCTTTTGATTCCAACTTAATAGGAAATCTTGCAAGGGGAGCAGCAACTCTCTCCAGGTCTATACATTGACAACTAGCAGACTGTCAGGGGAAGACACTGCTTGTAGAGTCACAGAGGGGGGCTGCCCTTTACAAAAGGCATTCCACACACCGAGCTTTAACTGAGCAACAGGTTGATTCCTTTTATCGCCTAGTCAAAGGAGTTGAGATAGAAGCAGGACAGGAATTAAAGGCAGCCGAAAAACTTTGTAGCCGAGATGCAATTTCCTGCTGTCTTTCTAGTTTGTCAAACCCCAGTGGAAGTGCTCTGTGAATGAAGTGCCCAGGACTGTCAACAGGCACTCGCTAGTGCATTCACATTCCTCTTCCCTTCAATGTGGCCTCTATCACATCAGCAAATATGTAGAGACTGATAGAGCCAGGCAGAAACAGAGAGCCATTCAATCAGCACAATTTAGCACTGCCAAGCACTGGGTGATGGATTCTTGGGCTACATTGATCTAACTCAGGTAGTAGAATATTAACAGAACTGAAGATAGAAACGCATGTTGACCATTGAACATTAAGTGCAAATCATGGTATGCAAGGGTAGTAAATAGCACAGCATAACAATAAAAAAGTATTAAGATAAAGTGTAAAAAAAGTATAAAATAGGAGGATCAAATTAAGCTTAAAGTGACATTCAAGTAAATTTTTTCCCCTACCCCCAATGTTAATGAAAGCACTTACCTTAAAGGATGTTTCTTAACCCGATCTTTCCTGTCGTTTTCATCTGTCCCTCCAGCGCTGCAGTGGTTCTCTGATCCAGCGCTGACTCCTGTCCTTGCTGGTACTTCCTGTCCCACGGTGTCTGCATGCGTCCATAGACTTACCTTGACTCTCCTCGCGTCCCGGCCGAAAATGTGAACTGCGCATGCGCCCGCCCCAAGATGCTTTGCGGCAGGCCGAGGATCTTCACATTTTTGGACATGAGCGCGCAGGGAAGACACAGGCAAGTATTAACCTCTGTTAAAGCGGTTTGTTTTACACTTTTTGCATACAAAAAAAAACAACGGAGGCTTTAAATGATACTTTAAAGATATAATACTTCTAAGTATATCTAAAGCCCGTCATTTCATTTTGGATAGAGTATTGAAGGGTTAGAACCACTGTCAGATTTATTTATATATACCTGGTGGGTAAATGCACTCTATTTGTCCTAGTGACCATGTCATAAGACTGAAAGAAGAAAAAAACAGGTAGTGTCATATTTATAAAGCAGTAGATTGAACAGTCAAACATTCACCGACTCACTCATGTAAAAACACGTGCCAGGAAGATACACTTGCAGTAAATGTTTGCTGAATGTGCTTAATGTGGCCCCATTCACACTTCGAGCAGAGTTCCTTCGGTTGTTTTTTTTACGGGCCTTTGAACAAGTGTTTTTGCTCGTGTTTCAGGCTTGAGGGTTTTTAAAATTTTGAGCCAATGAAAAGCTAGTTACATCGAGCTATGGATGTTTTTCTACTAGCAACGGAATGCTTAGATGTGAACTGGGGTCATTGAAAATAGTAATTCCGCCTCGTGTTGTAGTGCTTAAGCATTCAAGTTATAAAACTAAGGGCTTGTTCACACCAGATTCAGTCCGTTCAGGTTGGCTGCTGCATCAAAAACGCATTGCTATCCTATGGGATTTCTGGGGCTCTATTCACACCAGTGCAGTCAGTTCAGTAGCAATTAGAGAAAAAAAAATACAGCTTGCCACATTTCAGCTGCACCTGATTGCAACGGATCAAACATGCATGCAAACGCATAAAAAATAGAATTGATTAACTTCTCATCCTGGGACTTCCTCTGGGCAGTGGAGGTTTGCAAAGAAGGGAGCATTGCAGCCATGTGCGACATGGATGCAGATGTGTTCATCAAATATGAGTGTCCACTCCTTTACAACCCCAAGCATTCGCAGTATAAAAAAACTGCCAGAAGATGGAAGTGGCGGGAGATCACTGCAAATATCTACCAACACGAACACCATGCTGGCAAACAAAGGAAGCATATCTGAGCAACAACTTGACTCCAAGCAAAAGGAAGTGCACTGACAGGGAGGAGGAAGTGATGTAATGGTCTAATTTGCATTTTGATGTAAACAAAACACCAGAACACATCAAAAACATGTCAAAATGCATCGCACTGCAGCCTCACGCAGTTCTGATGCAGCTGTGATGTGAACAAGCCCTTAGACCCCATTCACTGAGCTACAACAAAATAAGCGCTTCTTCAGCGCGGATTTGAACAGAGCGACATTGAGCTACATCGAGCTTCTTTAAAAAAGTGCATATTTTGGCATTTTACCACAGGGACTTTGTAGCTGCTACATTGGGCTGTATCCAATCAAAAGCAGTCTTTGATGTGACATAATTCCTGTTTCCTGCTTCTGTGAAGTGTAATTTCTGGGGAAAAGCAACAGCTGCAACGCATTCAGCTGTCATTCCCAGCTATAGAAGCAGATTTCTGCTTCATCAGCTTCTCTGGGGGTCCCTAGGTGACATTAAGGGTCTTAGAGACCCGTGATGTCTCCATAAAGAGGACCGGTCATGTAAATTGGCTATCACATAGGGAGCTTATTAGCCCCCTATGTGATAGCAATAAAATGTAAAAATAAAAATGAAAGCATATAAAAAAATTAAAGTCCCCGTCCCCACATACACATAACATGTGGGCAACCTTTCTCAACCTTGTTACCACAGAGGAACCGTTGAAGTAACTCATGTCCTCCCTTGGTAATGATTTTAGCTACCACTTAGTGGGCATTAGTGTAAAAAGTAAGCTGTGGCTATAAGAATACATAAAATAAGGAATGTTAAATAATTACATATCTGGCATCAAGGGCTGCCCAATACAACTATTTTCAGTTAGTGAAATGATCAACATTACATTGATGGTTAGTTAAGAACCCAAGTACACTGGTGGTCAGCAGGCAAACTGACCCAGACATTTGTGTCAGTGGGGAGCATGCCCCCTACATTGGTTGTCAGTCAGGGTTCCACAGAACCCTGGTAGAAAGGCTAGTCTAAAGCCTTGTATAGGAAAAATGTGTACAGTAAGCTTTCAAGCAGCTTTATTAAAAAGTGTTAAGGAAACTCCTTGGTTTAAACAAGACCGTAATGGGAGTGCTGACTAAACAAGCTAAGACTCTGGAGGCTTTCAACAAGCTTTAAGTAGTGCTGAAGCCAACTGAAGCCTGCAAGCAGCTTGTTTTAAAGTGACAGTCAGCACTCCCATTAAAGATATTTGTTTACCATTCCCAAACAAGAGCTGAATGGTGCTTTAAAGGGCTCAGCGAAGCTGGCCAAAAGCTTTGTAAAAGCTTGCTGTACACACTGTTCTTTTGGAGCTCATGCGAACAATGCCTCAGAGTGGATTTTAGAACTTGTTCGGACATCTGGATGAGTGTCTGGAAACGTGGGCATGTGCATTTTTGATGCATTCCAATCCCTTTAGTCTCAATTGGACTTCTAGTGCTTTCTGGTGTGTTTTCATGCATTTTGGTGCGTTTCAGACCAGAGATAAAATAAGTGCATGCAGTACTTTTTTCCCCCCCAAACCATTCTGGAACTGAACGAAGGAGTGAACTAGTCTCACTTTTTACCATAGGAATGAATAGGGATGCATTTTTGGACTAGACAAAAAAATAAATAAGTGCTGGTCTGGATCTGGTCTGGACATGGTGTGCATAGGCTCTTACTCATTATGGAGAGATTATCACGTGTTTACAGGATAGGAACAAAATGGAGATCACCCACATGGGAAAAAAAAAGGGTTTTTAATTGTTTACTGTTCTTGCTAAAGTTTTGGCTTTAGGTGTACATATTTGCCTGGTCCAAAATGAACATTCAACATTTGGTGCAGGGATCAATGGTTGTCCAATGAAGCTGAAGACAATCAATGCAGCTGAATCTTTACAGAGCCTTTATCACTGATGACACTCATGGGCCCTGCCTCTAAAACAGACATTAAACAAGCATTTTGGTAGTCAACTTGGTTGATTGAGTCACTGGTGATGTAGCCCTGGCCTCATGATGCATCCTGGGAAGGCTATTTTACCAGCTGCTTCCTGGGTAATCTCATCTGTAAACATCTTGCAAGATCTTAGGGGGAAAATAATGTATTTCCCCTAAGTTGATATACATGGTCACGTGTTCCAGGAGTCAGACCCAGAGTTCCAGGAAGCAAAGGTGAAAAGGATGGGAGAGAAAGAAAGGTAAGGTATGCAAAGAATACAAAGCCGGCAATTATCTACATGTATATGTTTGCAGATTGTCATTACTAAACATTTCTATAGGTGCTTTTTTAGGGATGTCCCTATACAAGCATCGGTATCGCGACCGATACAGGGCATTTTGACAAGTACGCGTACTTGTCAAAATGCCCAGATACATAGTGCCGATGCTTAAGCTATTTTTTTTTCCTTTACTGCCCTTGCCGAGCGTCACTGCAGCGCTCCAGGTGGGGTCCTAATTTAGGTGGCCAGCAACTGCCCAGAGGACCCCACTCGGAGCGCTGCCCACGACGTGGTTAGAAAGTGCATGTCGGGGCAGCCCAACAGCACTTTCTAACCATCGCTGTCAGACGACTTGCGTACAGCTGACTCCCATCGGACTTACAGGCACGGACACCAACACGCACTGAGCACCCTCATTGCCTTCTACAGCGGCTCAGTCCGACAGAGTGCCGCCATTGAATCTAGCACGGCACTGTTCCTGTCACGATTTACCTGATCAAACACACGGCAGGGACATAGACCAAATTCTTGCTCTCCTCCCCCCCGCCCCCCCTCTGCCTTGCGCCCCTTACCATCTATACTTGACAGGCATCCTCTGCATATCAGCATCGTGGAGCTACACAATGTGGACTGACTCGATCCTATGGTTTGGGGGGTCTTTTACAAACGCTAGCAACGCAGCAGTTGAAAATCAAATCAATAGGAAAAAATTGCAGAAAATTCAAAAATGGCTTGGCCAGCTGATTTGAAAAATGTTCCGGAGGGCTTGGCAGCGAAAGGGTTAAGGCCGCCCTTCGTCCAGTTCTTGGTTGCACATTTAAGTGCACCACTTTATTTTTCCCTCCTTGACAGAGATAGGAAGTCTGTAGAATACATACCATCCAGGTCATTGCGTCCTTGTGTGTTTTATTGCTATGGATCATTTAACCCATTCATGTTAGCAGTGCAGAATTCTAAATATTGCTGCAGTGTATTCTATATGTAGTACATGCACAGTACACATCCCCAATTCGCTGCAGCAATAGATTTACAATTCTCCGCTAACATGAATGGGTTAAATGATCCGTAGTACAACTACATGTTATGTACTATGGAT